AGAGTACTCTGGGACCTCTGGGCCCCTTCATAGGAAACAGTGTGGCTCTGGGTGGTGTTTGGGCATTTTTAATTCCCTAAACTGAAAATTCTTTATTTAAAAAACTGAGTTTTGAGTGGGAAGTACTCATGCCGTTCCTTTCACGGCTCCATAAAGTAAAGCATTTAATTACATTTGCGCCATTTCTGTAATCAACAGTAGCATCCACGGAAGTTGCCTGGTAACTTTGGAACCACGAAACGTTGGTTCCTGACGGCGCCCCAAACTCTGCTCACCCCCTCCCGGTCACCCCCCTTATCATCCCCTCCCTGTCAGCCTCTTCAGGTCACCCCTTCTTTATCACCCCCTGCCGGTCACCCCCTCCTTATCATCCCCTCCCGGTCACCCCCTCCTTATCATCCCCTCCCGGTCACCCCCTCCTTATCATCCCCTCCCGGTCACCCCCTCCCGGTCACCCCCAGTCCACCAGCAGTAGGCAGTGCTCAGAAAGAGGGCACAGCGCTCAGGGGGAAAGTACTTACTTCCTTTCCTCCAGCAGGGCGATTTCCTTTTTAACCTCATGGTATTCTTCCGCGATCTGGCAGTGCTGCTTGAACACCTGCATGGATTCTGGGGACTCATGACAAGGCGGCAGAGGCTTCACAGACAACAACGAGGAGAAATCAGTCCACTGGTTTGCATCAGAGTAAAATACCAACCATTTTCCTCCCTCCATATTCTTTACAGGAGCCCTGGTTGGCAATGGTTAAGAGATCGCCTGCTAACCAAAAGGTCGGCAGTTCAAATCCACCAGCCTCTCTTGGAAACTCTACGGGGCAGTTCTACTCTGTCCTGTAGGGTGGCTGTAAGTCCAAATGGAGGCGACCGCAACAGGGTTTTTTTTTTTTTTTTTCTGCTTGTATCAGTTGTCCCCAAGTGATTCCAACTCATGGCAGCCCCTGTGTGTCAGAGCAGAGCTGTGCTCCATAGAGTTTTCATTGGCTGATATTTCAGAAGTAGATCACCAGACCTTTCTTCCCAGGCACCTCTGGGTAGACCCAAACCTCCAGCCTTTCAGTTAGCAGCCTAGTGCATTAACCATTGGCACCAACCACTCAGGGGCTCCCTCAGCTGATTCTACTTGACTGGAAAATAGAGAGGTGGATCCCTTTGTTCATCTTCCAGTATCATCCACGGGCATTTTCAGG